CCCCCCCTCTTCCCCTCTTGAAAATGCTTTACACATCTAGGTCTCATGTTACGAACAAGTGGGCGTGTTGAAACGAAATTTGTGCCTCGAGGAGCGAACAAAATCGGAAGCTAGGGGTTTAGGGTGATGCTTCTGTTAACGTGCAGTTTTGGAATTTCAAATTTAACTTTTACATCTGCTTAAGTCTCACGTATGGATTTCACATGGGAAATTTTTAGTTCAAAAGTCAGACAAGACGACTAAAATTTTCAGAGAATGTTTTCTATTCACGTGCAGTCTCAAAGATTTGAATTTAGTCTACGTACACCTATGTTTAACGTTCGACGCTTATGCTTAGTTTAACGTCAGGCACGGGAAATTTCTGTTGAGAAATTTCGCAGTTTAGGAACCAGACAACATACCGACTATTTTTGCATACGTCAAACTATAAAGCAAAGGAAATTCTTAACAGCAAACGTCCGCTGGACGGAACTGCGCAGAGTCACCCTGCTGCGCGCCGCTTTTATTTTCTAAAATGTTGCTAGCTTTGTTGCAGGGAATTTTTCAAGGCTCATCCCAATAGGCTAATGCTGTGCACTACAGCAATAGTTTTTGAGCTAGTTATTCATGTTTCATGGCAAGTATTTCGAATCTCTTTTATAGGTAGTACTAAATTCACCTTCTAGTGATAATGAAAATTTTTTGCATGGCGTAAGGTTTTACTGAACATCTTGTGTAGCGTGCTACATTATCTACCCATAGTTCGTTTAATGACCAACTATTTTTTTGAGGGGGCTTTTGTTTGTCGGGAAATTTGAGAGCGGAGGGGAGGGGGGAATACCACTCATGAATAGCCTAATTGCCATCAGAAACACGCAAAGAGCAGTGAATAAAACTTATGAGCTTTTAGGTGTCGCTCAACGCCTCTCAAAAACGAAAACTGCCAACAAACACAGAATTTGTTTGCGCTAATTCCTGCTATACAACACTAACTTTCCAATGCGTCAAAAACGTTTGTGAAACACTGGGATGGGAGTCGACAAAAAATTTTTGTTGATAAGGAACTAAAAATTGGAAAAAAAGAAAATTTTTTTCTATCCGTCCTTCAAAAGCCATTTCATGCCAATTTCTCGTGGCTTATAAAACACAGGTAAAATAGCAAAATCTCTGGCAAATCAAAAAATAAGTGGTTGCACCTGAGAGTTTTTTTAGACTTCGAACAGCATAAGACTGGGCTGTGCATTTTGCGCCCCTCTTCGGAAGCCTTACGAGTGATTGCCTTCTTTTCCACGGGTGACATTTAACAGATAAACAGCAACGCGCACCAGACTAGTCGGTTTTGTGCAATTCCGATCACGGAACGATTGCCTATTAATGATTTTCACTGCTTTGTACTTTGGCCTGTGCAAAAATAGTTGAAACGTTGAAAAATAGTTAAAAATTTCACGCACCGGCACAAGAAAGCTGAATTTGAAACCTTGAAGAGTGAATATCCTTCCGTGGTTCCCGAGATAATAGTTTACCCGCCAAAATTTTCATATACCCGGGAGCGCGAGAACGCTGAATTTGAATTCGTAAGGCCGTACATGGGCGAAGAGTCATTGCCCTAAAATTTCAACTTCGTAAACTTTTTGGTTCCCGAGATAATAATTTACCCGCAAAAGTATTTACTGGCCCGTAGGTGATACCTAAGAGCGCGGGAACGCGAAATATGAATTTGCAAGATCGTTCGTGGGCAGGGGGTCAAAACCCCAAAATTACAGCTTCCTAGACTCCGTGGTTCCCGAGATAATAATTTACCCGCCAAAAATTTTCACAGGGCAGTACATGTTACCTGCAGGCAGGGGAAAGCTGAATTTAAATTTTCTGGGTAGCACAAGGGCGGGGAACATGCCCACAAAATTTCAGCCTTCTAGCTTCCTTGTTTCCCGAGATACTGATTCTACCCGGAAAACTTCTACGAGGCCGTACTTGTTACCCGTGGGTACGGGAATGCTGAATTTAAATTTGCCGCGTCACCCTTTGGCGGGGAACACCATGCTAAAATTTCAGCCGCCTAGCTTTTGTGGTTCCCGAGTTGAAAGTGCGGGACAAAATGTGGGA